GGTGAGTGCGATGGCGACGCTGACCACGAAGATGAAGCAAGGAATCATTACTCTACCATCTTAAACCCTCATTGGGCAGGACATACTACATTTCCGAGCACACCTGGGACTTTGATTCCATCAAGTTCGAGGCGGGCCCTTTTTGCAGGCTTCTGTCAATGGTTGCAAAAGGCTGCGCAGGGGTTTTTAAGTCTAGATTGGCTCGTATAGGGTTTGCACTGTGAGATCGGACTAGGGCGTAGCAGTTACACAGGGTTTTGGGTTTGGTTTAGGAGTATCGACTGGCAGAGTCAGCCCGAAAGCCAGAGTGCCGTTTGGAAGTCACCGCAGCAGGTTTGTGTTTCAGCTTTTATACAAATGCAACAGGACATTGCCTAAACACTACGAAATACTTCTGTTGATGATACAAATCCTGCATTACCCATAATAAGGGATCCACCATAAATCCCACAGTCTAGGGTCATTTAGGTAATGCAGGATGTATATCATCAACCATTTTGATATACACCCTATGTTGATGATGACCGCCTATGAAGAAGGATTTGGGTGACCCCATACAAAACCGGCTCTACCAGGCTTGCAGTTGGCTTAGGCTTTAGGGTTTTATGGTCTAGGGGTTTAGGGGGGTTTGGGTTTAGGCTTGAGGGGTTTAGGCGCCCAGCTGATGTTCGAGTTTTGATAGGTTTGACGTGCGAGCTCAAGTGTTTAGGGTTTAGGGCTTAAGTCGTCGACCTCGTCGTGCTCATCGTTGCAGTCGTAGCTGGTCTGTCTTCCACGTAGGCTGTGCTTCCGGTTACCTTTTTTCTGTTTCGATGTAGGTTCGTGTGGAGACATCCATGTGTTCAAAGCAAGCCCAAAGCGTCACCGAGCACCTGTTCCGTATTTGCAACCTAGATCCCAACACACCCCCGTAACCCCAAACCGTTGTAAAGTCTAAGCGTTAAACAAGCAAACCTGCAGCCCTACCCTCGCAATTTGCCAGGCCCACACAACCTCAGCGCCCGAACCCCTAACCCTAAACCGACATGCTGAACTCCAAGCCCATATCCTAAACCCTGTACTTTTTTCCTTTCCAAACCCTGGACCCTTGACACTAAACCACAGCCCAAAAAATGAACCTACACCCGAAACCCCAAAACCCTACATCCTAAATCCGGCCCTGTACCCCATACCTCGACGCACCTGCCTTAAGCCCTGAACCTGAACCTGGTCCCTACCCCATACATGGGTAGTTGTCAAAATTATGGTCCCTTTTTTGGATCCCTAATATAATACGGCACCTATTATTTAGGGTACCCATAAAAGGACCCTAATTTCGACAACCACCCACATCGACGAGCCTGCTCAGTCGCCGAAGTGGCACCTTGACCTCACGAACCGGCTCCTTGGAGAGAACGAAAAGGGGCTTCGAAGACCGAGAGTTTCCCTTTAAAGGGATCCATAAGGGCTCCTATAAGGGATCTTTAGGGTTTAGGGTATAGTTACTATAGTACCTATAGTCTCCACTGTATTTTTCTTTTGGGGCTAAACCATTTTTATAGTTAGGACCCTATAAGGTTACCCAAAAAGGAACTATACAATGGAGACTATAGGTAGGGTTTCGGATTCAAGGTTTAGTGTTTTGCGCGTAGGGTTTGGGTTTATGGGGGGCTGTCCGTGATGAAGTCAGGATACTATAAGGTTACTATGGAGTTTACTGAACAAGTTTATGGGGGTTTGTGGTTCGTGGTTAATAAGTAGTGACCGTTTCCCCCTATCGCACCTTTAGACTTTTACTATATGATGCACTCAAAACCCAAGTCTTGTTAAGGACCCTGTATTTTAGAACCTTGCTTATAGCCACCCTTACAGTAATCCTTTGTTTGAGGCTTACATAATGGCATGAAGCATCTGACAAGGTCCCATCAGTGAATCAGGACTGAAGCCTTGAACTGTAAATCCCCACATTCACTCCCAAACAGTAGAGCTCATAAGCGTCTGGAGAGCTCTACAACGGACCTCGAGTAATCGCTTAAATGCTCTTGGGGTTTCGGCATTTGGAGGTTCCTACGGGGCATTCAGGGCCGGGGTTTGTAAGGGGAATTACAAGGGCTTTCTCGTGGTTAGTTTTGCTTTTGTTGTTATTGAAGGGGTCCCCAAACAAGCCCTACGGTTGATGATATAAATCCTGCATGACCCATAATAAGGAATATACCATAATTCCCATAGTTTAGGGTCCTTAAGGTAATGCAGGATTTATATCATCAACCGTAGGTGTATACCATGTGGGCACATGGAACCTTAGGGTTTGCGGTACTTGAACCCAACAGATGCCCAAATGCTAGACCGTTCACCCCTCTTAGCGGCCCTGAAGCCCAAATGCTTCAATCCTAAACCCTAAACCCTTAGCCCTAACCTTGAAACCCTAAACCCTATAAGCCTTAAACCCCTCAAGCCTAAACCCTAAACCCCTAAACCCCAAGCCTTCACCCCCTCAATCGACAAAGCTGCAGACCCTACACTATATTATACTATGCTGTACTATACATAACTATGCCGTGATATGCTGTTCTACACCATGCTATACTATGGACCATGTTACCATATAGTCTATACTATCTATACTATATGGGTGGGTGTCAAAATTAGGGTCCCTTGTGGGGTACCCTAAATTATAGGTGCCATATTATAATGGCGACCCCCAAAGGGACTATAATTTTGACAACCACTTAAATACTATCTACCTAGACCCTCCATCTACCCTCTAACAGACCCTAAATGCCCCTTATTTGGGACCATATACCCGTATTTGAGGGTACAAGGAGGGCCCTGGTTCAATATACTACTACGGAAGTAGGTCCAAAAACCAATAATGGGGATGGTCTTTTGGGGCCAAATCCCATAATGGTAGTGAATATGGACCCTCTGGGATACTATCTACTATATACTATATACCAGAGGCCGTATTATAATGGGGACCCAAAAAGGTACTATAATTTGACAACCGCCTATGTACTATCTACATTTTAGCATAATTCCCATAGTGTGGGGTCCTTAAGGTAATGCAGGCTTTATATCATCAACCGTAGCTACAATATACCTAATATAGCACCCTAACTTGTAGGATCCTAATTCTAAGGACCCGCAAAGTATATAAGGGACCCTAGTTTTCGGAAGCTCCCATATACGATCTACAATATACCATAATGCTCATAGTTTAGGGTCCTGAAGGTAATGCAGGATTTATATCATCAACCCTATACCCTAAACCCTGATAGATCCCTTTAAAGGAACCCCTATAGATTCCTTAATCCTATATACTATCTACAATATACTATTTCCCAGGGGCTTTGGGCGGCCCATCCTCGATGCCGAGATCCGCGTTTGCCACGCCTCGCACTTATCCTTGCTTTGGGGGCTTAGGGGGTTCCCTTAAAGGGATCTATAAGGGGTTAGGGGTTTAGGGGTTCCCTAAAAGGGATCTATAGCGGTTTAGGGGCTTAGGGGTTTCTTTAAAGGGATCTATAGGGGTTGAGGGGTTCCCTTGTTAAAGGGATCTATAGCGGTTTAGGGGTTTAGGGGTTTCTTTACAGAGATCTATAAAGGTTTAGGGGTTCCTTTAAATTTAAAGTGATCTATACGGGTTCGTTTAAAGGGAAGTTTAGGTGTTTAGAGGTTTAGGGGTTTAGGGTTTAAAGTCTAGGGGTTTTGGGGGTTTTGGGGCTTAGAGTGTTTAGGGTTTAGGGGTCTAGGGGGTTGGGGGGTTTAGGGTTTAGAGGTTTAGGGCCTGGCGCGGCCACTCCTGCCCTACCGATTTCGCTGTGCGTGCCAGCGTTCATGCACATGCAAACTTAGGGCAAGCACTTTTTCACCCTTTAGTTCGCAGGAAGTCCCCAACTTTCTGCTTCAGGCACTGAAAGTTTCCTTCATGATAGGCCGCAAAGCAATGGCTTTCCAAGCCGTTTTCGGTGCGTGCATCAGTGGTCAGCCCTGCGGCCTGCACGACAGCACGGTAGTAGTCAAGCTTGCGACATGTTTGTTTTGGCAAGAACAGGCATGTGAACATGTTTGCCGGCAGCCCGCATTCCTACACAACACACACATGACAGCGCAGGACTGACTAAGAAATAAGAAGCATCGACTTGTGTACGAAGTGCGTGAACATGTTTGTTATCATCCCTCCCCCACCCCCTACCCCCCTTTGCAACGAAGAAGTCGAAGCTGAGGATGTGACCTGGGCAGTGGCTTAAGGGCTAATTTTGGTAGGTCAATTGTGGCCGCGTCTAGGTTTAGGGGTTTAGGGTTTAGGAGCACCTGAAGCCAAAACTCACGTGTAAATGTTTTGACTGTCAACCGTCTCTTCACCCTCTGGCCTAAACTGTCGCTATCAGGAATCGCTCTGAACCAGGTTTCTCCATACTAGCTATTAGGGTCGTTTAGGTCGAAAGACGAAGCAATGAGGAATAGCTCCACACAAAGCCGAAGAAAGCGCCCCTCCATCCGCGCCGGCTGCTTTTGTAGCCCCTTGATGCATTGCATCGGCAACCCGGGGCCTTCGACCCTTGCAAAGTACTACCTGGGCCTGGACCCCAAAAGTTGGTATAAAAATACATTTTTATAGGTTTTGGCCTATGAGTCTACCTATTTTGGGGGTTCAGGTATCTCTTTTAAACGCTTCGCATCGTCCGCCTCGGCCCGGCCGCGACGGAAGCAAGCGCACTGTGAAGGCGTCGGTGAAGGACCTTCAAACCCTAAAACTTAGCTTTTAAGGCGTCCAGAAACAAGAAAAGGGTTCAATTAACTTCCAATGCTACCTTGGTGATTTCCTTGTATAGTTGTACTATGTTCTTATGTGCCTTGTGCTACTTAGCTCTAAGGTTTGCTTTGTCTCTTGTTGGAAGACCTATGCAGTGAGTCGATCGCACAGTAGTCGCTTGGTTTTTGGTACATGCTGATTCCCGGTAGCGCTTGTAGGCTGCAAGATGCAGATTACACGCAGTTTATTTTGGTGTGAGCGAGCCATGAAAACGATCGCTCAACTGCTAGCAAATGTTCTCGTGTGCGTGATCAACTTGGAACGGCAGCAGCAACGACGAGAAACCACTGTTCAGCTGCTTGAGAGCTGTGGGTTTTCCCGTATTGGTGTGCTTCCAGCCATTGATGGACAAAAGCTTTTTAAGTCAGGCGGGAGATTGATGAAGCAGAACAAAATCTGGCGCATATCATGCGACTCATACGACCAGACCATAGCAGGCGAAGCAACACGCATAACAGATCGACTTCGAGTGTTTGGCCTTGCCCCCAAAGGAGGTACGAATGTATGGGCGCAATTTGGATTCATGAAGTCCCACGAACCAGTCTTGCATATGGTTCGTCGTGATCTTCCCAAGGAGAAATTGGTATTAGTATGCGAAGAAGATCTCCTCGTGCCAAACGCAAGCTGGAGATCCGCGGAGCTTGTGTCCGTACTTGGACCGTTCATAGAGCAGCTCACGAAGGAATGTCCAAGATGGGTCTCCTTATTGCTTGGAGGCACTCCAGTCTTTGGTTACGCGGGCAAGAACGCGCCAACAGGTATTACTGGCATCAACAAAGCCGGATGTGTCATGCAGTCACATGACTGTGGCGGCATGCAGAGAAGAGCGACGAGCTACTAGCACATGCACTTGACCGGATGCAACAAGGATATCAAAACGATAATGCTATGGCGGCGAGCATGTCGCGCTTCCCCGACTGATGCCTCTATCTACATCCTGCCCTGCTAGCACAAAATCCGAAGGTCGAATCGAATTTACAGATCGTATCCAGTGCTGGAGGGCAAAGTGGCTATAATGCTGCTCGCAAACTTATGAGAAGCATCTCTAACAAGGCAGTGCGTTCCAATGCTCGCAAGAATGATCAGCCCTCCTCGAATTCCCGAGGCTCCTTTCCCATTCACAAGAAAACCCTGAAGAAAGCACGTTCCAACGCAGGACGTGCTGGTGGAAAAAAGTTAGCAGGACATGGCTCCAGTCAACGATTAGCCCTAAACCGCAGGACCTAAGCCCTGAACCTTAAGCCTTAGCCCTAAACCTTACGCTCTTAAACCTTAAAATTATATAATATGAAAATCTGATTCTAACTGACTGTAACTGTTCGAACCCTTCGTTTTCATCAATCGCGAGACTTTCGGGAGAAGGGATGACCCGACACCATTGGCCCTTTTCAATTGCGGGTGTAGGGTCAAGACTTCAGGTTAGAAACTGCCGTCGTATTGCAGCCTTAGGGGCAGGCCGCAACAAGCAAGGGTGCTGCATTGAAATCCCCGGTATTCGGAGACTCTCATATATGTAGGTGTTGCTAGCATTGGCGGCATGTGATGTTTATCCCAACAAGTACTTATCCCCCAAGGAACGAAGGAAGTCAAGTGGAGAGCAAACAACAAGAATCGAAAGAAATAAACACGAACAACTCAAACGGTTTAGGGTTTAGGTTTCAAGGCAGGGCAGGGCAGGAGCCTGATTAGAGAAACACTGTTGCGGTGGATGTGGAAATTGTTGCATCTCCGAATCTTGTGCCTGATATTCGACATAGCCCCTAGATGGGCGATATCGATGCTTGAATCTCCGATGTCCGCAATCCGCCAATAGGTTAACTGGTGGAACCCTGCACCCTACAGCCTGAAACCTTCCATGCCATATTTCCGAACGTGCAAGTTTTGTAGCCGACAGCTTGCAAGCTTCAGTTTCTGAGCCTTGTACAAGTCGTAGCACGAGCGGATGGAGCTTGCGCTGGCACCGGAACGACCGCTGCTTGTTTGGGACGTGGAACATGCTTTTTGCGCAGAGGCGTGGGGTTCAGGAAAACAGGGGGAAGGTAAAATTGGGGGAGGGGAAGGGGGGGCGAGGGAGGAGGAGGGGGGAACTCACAGCCCAACTTTGTCTAGAGGTTTCCATTTTTTGGGGGGCTAGAGGGAATCCGAATAGAAAGCTCTGACCACTTCGGCCGGGGCCGAAGCCAATTACCATGAATTACCAATCTTATTTTTGAGAGGGGCGGTGTCATTGCAATAATTATAGTAGATTGTGCCCCCAAACAAAACCCTAAGGCCCCATATTCTTGTTCCTTTGAGCCTCCCAAAACCGTCTGTAGTGCTACACATACCAAAAGAGGTGCAACGGTGCCCCCGCCGTCGCGAACCCTGAAATGACGGCATCTGCAACGTTCATCTGGGAGTTTCCGACATTTAGGGGTACCTTATTTGGGTTGTTATACCAAGGATCCTACTATTTCGGGTACTACATCGGGGTCCCCTGTTTTAGGAAACTCCCTCTGTGGCAGCTCTGGCAGTCGCAGCTGCCATGGACTATCAGCAGTACTGGCACAAGCCGGAGCAGTAGTCGTTGTCGATATCTTTGTCGTCGGTCGTAATCGTCGAGCAATTGCACAAGTAGCAGGAGTAGTAGCAGAGCAGAGGCGGCAGTAGCAGTTCTCGGCTTTGGACATTCAAACATATCAATTGCAAAAAACCCTTTCAATCCGCAGCCTCGCCCGGTAAAGCCTAAACCTTGATGCTGCATCGACATCATACCTAGAGCAAACGTACCTCAATAAGGGAGATGTACCATGCTTTTGAAGTTCATATTCATATCCTAGTTCAGATCAAAGGTAACTACGTGAGGCACCCCAGGTATACTGCAACTTCGACATCTGAATACCATCGTTCGAAGCCGCCACTGGGATTTCTCAGGTCCCAGACATCCTTTGCGCCGAAGTCGCTGTCTGAGATTCCCTCAAATCCGTTTTGCGCTGTGATGGGTATCCAACCATTAGGATGGATATCTTGGGATTTGGGGGTGTAGGGTTTCTGATGATGTGCAGCTGATGGTTCATACTTGTGAATGTGGCTGCTACCAACATAGTGTCGTAACGTGTTCTACTGCTGTGACGTTCGGTTTCACTTTGCTTTCTGTTACTGCGCTACTTGTTTATTGATGGTAAGGAGTTTCTGCATTGGGGTTCTATTTCCGTAAGCAAGAAATTTAAGGTTTCTGTGCAGCTTTCAGAGTTGCTGCTGCCTTGCCAGTCTTGACCACAGAGTTGGATCGTCCCCGGCGCATCACAGAACCACTTCAACCAGTCTTCAACTTGCAGACTAAATCTAAGCACCAGACCGTAAGCCCTAAACCCTAAATCCAAGCCCCAACAGTTTACTCCAGATGCTACGCCCTGACTCCTAAATCCAAATCTACCTGTTAATCCTCCCTGAGCCTGCATACCGACCGAAGTCACAAGATCCCGAGTCTGACAGTATCATTGATCCCGTGAGACTTTCTTAGTTGGTGCAAGGTTTAGGATTTAGCGTTTGTTTTTGTTTTATGTTTTTTTTGGGGGGGTGGGGGGTGGGGGGGGGCGGGTCTAGCCTTGCTTGAAACGATTTCAACCGGGATGCCTCTGTCGTGATCTGTGGGTGCAGCACGGCGATCAATGAGGTTTTGATGGCATCATTATCCTGGTATCCCAGACCCTTACAACGCCAAACTCCCGACTCCGACAACCGTAAACCCTGAGTCCTAAACCCTAGACCCTGCGTCCTAAACAAAAATAAGCCTTAAATCCTAAGCCCTCTGATAGGGCCTATACAGGGCATCCCAATCGGAAGTCTCCCTCCTGTCGTGTCTCTTTCAGACTCCCTTTCCAAGTGTGTGTCGGACAGGCTAAACCCTGGGCCTATATATAACTCCCAAATCGTAGGATTCATATAAAGAACCCTAGACCTTACCTAGACGCTCCATGATAGTTCCTTTTTGTGGTTCTTATATAGATTCCTAGACGATAATCCCAAAAAGGAACTACTATGGAGCCTATGGGTAAACCCTAATGTAGCCCACATCTAGCGCTGGAACCCGAGGCCGTCATCTCATGCAGCATGCCGCATCTCCAGCTCTTACCGACCAACATCTGTTCTATGGCCGTGATGTCTGACAATGTGGGGATTACGTATCAGGGCACCTATGCCTTATGCACCGTCTGACAGCTTTACAAGCCCTGAAACCCCAGCGCTGCAGCAGTTGGGGTCTGCATCTCTTGCCGTCTGGAGGTCTTCTCAGCGCTCTGTGATTCAGAGAACAGTGAGAACGCCGCTTGGCTTGGGTTACGTCATACCGTACTACGACTTCTACTCTGCTATAGGGGCCGGAAGTCTTACCTATACTGTTTTGATGGTTTCCTTATGATAATTATGGTATAATGGCCCCAAAACCCTATTCTAACTATTAAGGCACCCAAAATACCCCTTATAGTACATAATCCTTGTGGGCCCCTTTCAAAGGAACCCTCTAACCGGAACCTTATTCCCATTATCAAGGCAACTATGTGATTCTGGGTTGTCCTTTGGGATCTTTTTTACTGTCTCCTACTATTTTGTAGAGAACCATAATAGTATGTAAGTAATTTTCAAAGGGCTTTAAAGGATCACTCAGAGGGACCCTCAGCCCTACCCTTACAGTACCCCCATAGATCCCCTTAAAGGGGACCCTTATAGTACCCTTATAGATCCCCTTAAAGGAACCCTTACAGTACCCAACTCCATCCTGTTCTTGGGTTCCTAAGCCTCAAAAGGTTTTCAGCCCTTTGGTCCCTGGTACTCCAAGGCCCTACCCAGAATCTCGGGAGGATCCCAAAAGTAGATCCCTTAATGGGGGTTTGTTTAGGGGTTCCTTTAAGGGTCCCTTTAAGGGTCCCTTTAAGGGATTTGGGGTTTAGGGTTTAGGGTAGATAACTTAATGGGGATTCCTGAAAAATTCCCTTAGTAGTATAGGGCCCCGAATTAGGGGATCTACTTTCTAGATCCTCCCAGGGGTCTGGGTAAAAAAGCCCTACCCATAGGCTCCCAGTAGTTCCTTTTTTGGGATTACCTTGTTAGAGGATTCTATATATGAGGCAGAACAAGGAACTCCTATGGAGGCTCTAGGTAATTATGATCCCGAACTCGAACTCAGAATGAACCATCACGAAACCCTAAGCCCTCAACCCCTGAATCCAACGACACCCTAAATCCTAAACCTATAACCAGAACCCCAAAGACCCGAAATTAAAGCCTAAACATGGTTTACTTAGGTTCACGACTTCCCGAGTCCCGACGTCCTTCGATCGCGAAGCCCGAAACGGGTCAACATTAGCAATAACAACAACAATACTAGCAATAGTCAGAAACACACCACCAATATTGATGGTAACAGACAACTATTAATAATGTTTGATCGTATGAATAAAACAGAATGATACTACTAGTCTACTAGTAGTAGTATTGAGAGCAACTAACAATATCAATAATAATAGTAAAAATGGAGACCCACCCGTGGCACTTGAACCCAGGACCGTCCGAAATCTAGGCTTCCCTCCACAAAGCTCGGTCGATAGTAGGTTGAGCAATGTCTCGGGTCGAACCGCTCTTCTCTTGGAAGCTTTGATTTTATGCACACCCTAAACTCTAAACCCTAAACCCTAAGTGCTGTCTGCAAAAGCCTCTGTCTCCTTGTTCAGGCTTTTACCCAAAGGGCCCTAGGTACTGTCATGGGGGAGACTTCCCCAACATCATAGTAAAGAAATCCTAATATACAAACCCTACATTCTACAATATAGGTACCTTGGACCCCTTGGGTTATGTTACCTATAA